CCCTCCGTATCTCTGCTTCCTGCTCTACATGGACACAGTTTTCAAATCTTTCTGCCCTCAGCTCTACTGTCTGAAGAGCTGTTGTTGTTCCCTGCAGAGAGAGATGGTTCATTATTAATCAGACTGGCTTTGAAGTAGATCTGATTGATTTGCCAATCTGCAGCTTGAAAAAAAGAAAAGAAATCTGTGCATATTACAAAGTCCAGAGTGTAGATCAATGGCTGAGTGCTTGATGGATTTTTCAGTTTTGCTGCTTTATTGCAGGTGCCATGTGCATGCAAACCTGATCAGCTCCAACAGCTCAGAATTTTTACTGCATTAATGTTTGTTTTCACTTTTATGTCTGACAGAGCGGCTCGACTCGAACGCTGCCTCACTCACTTCGTAATTTTCCTGGGGAAAATGTTTTCATGATGTAACCCTGAGAAAGAATTAGGGATGCAGAAAAGGGCTTGGATGTGACATGCGAAAACTTTTGTGGGAGGAAGGAAAAATACAAAATGAACGAGACTGAAGAGGAGCGAGAAGGCGTCGACCTTAAGACCAGAGAGAGAAAATATCCAAATATCCAAGGAAAATATTGCTGCTGATTTTCAGGAAACGTACTGAAACAAATGGAAGATTTAATCATCACTTCAGCCGCTGAATTACCTCAAAATCTATTTATAGTAGCAATGGATTTAAGGGAAAAAGATATTTCCAGTTCCCATGACGATACATGAAAAATATATCATTTCTCCTTTTTTGTTTTTCATAAAGGCTCCAGAAATCACAAACTATTTTTGAAAATCCTTCATCTCAATCTTTTGATTCTTTACATTACAGTTTTAATGCTTTTGAAATTCTAAATTAGAACCAGTGAGAGTGCTCCCAATAAGTCTCAAAATATTTTAGATGATGATCAAATGGAGCCTAGTTAAAACAGAAAAGAATTATTCAGAATAGTTCTTGAATACAGATGGAGAAGCAGACACTCAGAGAGGATCTGGTTTTCATTCTCTATGTTCTACTGACGAGCCAAACTGCTGACCTATGACCTGCTTCAGTACAGCGGAGGTTTGTTCAGCGCTAATATCTAACCGGATCATTTCAAGACGAGTCAAAAACTGCTTCCTTTTTTAATCCAACATAAGAAGCTCAAACCCAGTGGCTCACTGCAATGCTTTTATAGCTGAATGTTGTCCACCAGCCTGAAGCAAAGTCAACACAATGAGGAAACAGTTGAACTAATACTTCCTATCTAACTTCAGAATAAGAGTCTGGTCCAAAGCAATGCATTATGGGCACCTAAAATGAATTCACTTATTCATTGGATGAAGAGGCATGCTGACAACATTCACTGGCACTTTGTGATGACAAATGTTACAATTCAATTTTGCAAGATGCCGCATCCCTTGACTGTACAAAAAACTCAGTTAACCAGCAGAGAGGCTTCATCTCTGATCATTTGTTGATGTTAATATCTGTGAGTAGCTGCACTCTCTAGAGGTTTTACACATTAATTATAATCAAAGAAAGAGATTGTTTCATTCACATGGCAGAAATCTGATGAACTCCCTGAAGAGAAGTCAGCTGCTTTGCTCTAATGACTTCAACAGGCTCTTGTTTCTGCTTGAGGCCAGCAACAGCAAGCTTCATTTGAAACATCATAACTGAGAATCAGGAAACAGAAAGGTTGCTTTGGTTGGACATCATCAGGACCTGCTGCTGAGACGCATCACCACACGCTTCTCAGTCTGGACAGTGTGTTGGTGGTGATGTGCAGTGTTCGGTGTCCACCAAACATTGTGACCAATGGGCAGAAAGCTCCGGTTTGGTTTCATCAGACCAAAGAACTTTCCTCCATCATGGCGTCTCCCACAGGCCTCTGGGCAAACTCTAGTCAAGTCTCGGTCTGAGTTTTCTTCAAAGGTAACTTTCCCGTTGCCACTCTCCCAATGAAAGGTTGACTGGTGAAGAAACAACTGTTGTTGTCACGGTTACGTGGTGTCTTCTCTCTCCGGTCTCTCAGGTTGTGAGAACGTGGCCATGATGTGACTACATTCCTTCCATGTCTGGACAGATTTAGCTGAATGCTACACCATGTTCAGCTAAATCACTGTGTATGCAAGTATTGTCTCAGATTTTTTAAATGGTCAGTGCAAATGATGGTCAGTATGATTTTCAAGCCATGAACTATTACAGTATTAATCACATTCTACTGAACAAAGCTCCCCAGGAGAACAGTATTTTTTTTTTTCAAAAAAGAAAAAACTCAAAATGCACTGTTCCAAATTATTATGCACAGCAAATTTTCTAAACATTTTCTGGATTATGAAGAACTGCAAATGGTCATTCTTTGACTGTGCAGCATTAAGTGGTCACATGTACTAAAATCAAAAGCTGTTTCAATCAAAAACATCTTAACAGACTGAGTTACATGGTAGCATAGGACCTTCTTTGATATCACCTGCACAATTCTTGATCCATTGAACTTGTGAGTTTGTGGAAAGTTTCTCCTTGTGAGCTCTAGTTAGGGGCCCAATGGTAGCTTCAAGCCTCTGGAGGAGGAACCAGCAGCTTCAAATAACTGTTTGCTGCTTTGTAAAGACATTTTAACAGCTGCTCTCTTAATCCCATATATTTGTCTAACAGAAACTTTCCTCATTTAACAGAAACCCGAGTTAACAGAAACCCATCTTTGTCCTGAATCGGCCACAAATCTCTTCACAGTACAATCATAACGCTTCAGTTTTTGTTAAATATTTGATGTTTTCATATCTTGCCATACGGCACTACACTATCTGATGATTTTCATCAGCAGAGATCCTTTCTCTTTATATTGGTTGAAACCTGTGGCCTGCTTAATAATGTGGAACATCCTTCTTTAGTAGATTTCCTTTAATTGAGCTCAGACAAACTAATCAACCAGCTCCCTGAAATTACAGTGATTCAAAGAGCCCTGACACACAATGCAATCTATTAATTTAATAGGCTATTAATTAATGCAATCTATTAATTTAATAATTTGAAATGTAATCTTTATGACACTTTAAACCAATTTGCATAATAACTTGTAGAGGTCACTCAGTGCCTTGTAGATGTTTTCAGAAGCAGGATGTCTCAGGACGAGCCGTGGCTCCTCCTTCACACTTGACAGATGGTGTTTTTGTAATAGTGTGATGAGAAATAGGCTGTGTTCACACGGCAGGTCTTGATGCTCAATTCTGATTTTTTCTTGCTGAAATCAGACCTCTGTGTGAATGTTTCACGACCCCAAAGCGACCCAGATGACCAAGAACTCAGACGTGACACAGCTGTGCTCTGTTTAGTTTGAAAAAATGGCCAAAAGACAGAAAACACAACTAAAAGCGATGACTTTTGTGGATCATCGACTGCAGTTTCTGAAAAGTCTGTCTGGATGTGGAGTATGATCCAAAAGCGGTTCCTTCAGGATGTGATGCGCTTCAGCGGAGCAGACTTCTTTCATAATTCATAATTCAGATTTTCTTGTATTTTTATGTTCAGTCTGGTTCCTTCAGGTGCAGAATTGTGATGCATGTCTCAGGTCAGTGACATAAAGGTCGAGTTAAATTCAGGAAGAGCTTTGAAAACAATCGTCTGATTTAGCTCCATATATGGAAATGGCAAATCAGACTGTTTTGGTGGGTGAAAAGATCTGATTTGGCCGTTCAGACTGCTGTGGAAAAGTAGATGCTGTATAAGCAAAAAAAAAAAAAAAAAAAGAAAAAAGAGATCAGATCTGGGTTGCATTTTCCTGCTGTGTGAATCCTTTTCTAAATAACAGCAATGTTTGAGGTTCAGTCTCAACTCCACCTGTAGAGTGGTTAACAAAATAGCCCCGTCCTGCATGCTGACATATTTTGCTGAAATCCAGAGCAATGTCCCTTTAATTCTGTTATCCTGCTGAATGCGACCCCACTTCCGTGAGGAAACTGAGAGAGATTAATCATAGCAGCAGCACCAAGAGCTGCGCTGCAGCAGCACCAACTTTATGGTGTTGATTTCCTGCTGCAGCAGCAGCAGCAGGAACTGCAGCAGCAGCACCAAGAGCTGCAGCAGCAGCAGCAGGAGCTGCAGCAGCAGCAAGGGGAGCTGCAGCAGCAGCAAGGGGAGCTGCAGCAGCAGCAAGGGGAGCTGCAGCAGCAGCAGCAAGGGGAGCTGCAGCAGCAGCAGCAAGGGGAGCTGCAGCAGCAGCAGCAAGGGGAGCTGCAGCAGCAGCAGCAAGGGGAGCTGCAGCAGCAGCAGCAAGGGGAGCTGCAGCAGCAGCAGCAAGGGGAGCTGCAGCAGCAGCAGCAAGGGGAGCTGCAGCAGCAGCAGCAAGGGGAGCTGCAGCAGCAGCAGCAAGGGGAGCTGCAGCAGCAGCAGCAATCTCCCACTGATTAATTCTATGAAACCAAGCTCGCCTCAAAATAATACCTTGTTAATTTAGAGTCGCACAATGGAGGAGTGATACCTGACTGACGAGCTTCCGTCACTTGTGTTTACAGGAGCGGGTGTTAATAAATCCTGCGTGTGTGGTGTGTGTGAGGTGGCGCGCGCGTGTGTGTGCCCTCGCGCATGCATGGGTGCGTATGTGTGTGCGCGTGCATGTGTGTGTGTGAGTTGGCTGCAGTTGACGAAATCAGAGGGACCGAGCATTCCTGACGACACAGCGCGAAACAGCATCTCCTCCTGGAGCAGCTGCTGGAGGTTGAAATATTTCATTCACCGATGAAGGAATCATGTTTTACTGTCCCGCTTCCGTTCCAGGTGGGCTTCAGTGGTGCTTATCACGCACGCATCGCGGTCAGTCATTCCACGCTAAACCGCGTGAATGCAGCACATCATAACAACAGATTGTATCACCTTGTTGGCTTTTTTTTTTTTACATTTGAAAACTTGCTGACGGAGACGGAGGTTTGTGCACGAGCGGTGTTCATCTCCATACACACATACACACGCGCGCGCGCGCCCGAAGGCTATGTGTGTGTGTGTGTGTGTGTGTGTGTGTGCGTGTGTGTGTGTGTGTGTAAGTCTCCCCTTCTTTGCCTCCACGCATCTGACAGCGTCCCTCCCTTTCTCTCCTCCTCCTCCCTCATTAGGCGTTACACCGGCAGCACACCGACCCACTCCCTGTCCTTCTAACCGGGAAATAAACACTGAGCGGCGGCAGCAGCGCTGAACTCCCCCGGTGCTCCGTCCACGGTCCTCTGGATGCCTGTCTGACAGGAGGGTATGTTGGAAATCACCTTGTATTTTCCTCTGAAAGCTGACTGCATGTAAACACGGTGTTGATTTCCTTAAATGCGCCTTTTTAAAAATTGTTTATATTTGTTTTAATGCGCATAATTCGCAACTGATGGCGCGTTTTGTGTTTTTTGCTCTGTGGTTGGAGCTGATCCACACATCGGATCATTTTCTAACACGCATGGACTTTACCCTGCGCTCCCTGCCCGAGGGACAAAAAAAAAAAAAAAAAAAAAAGAAAAAATCCTGGGAATGAAGCAGGAGCAAGTTGTTGCGTCGTTTTTTTTTTGTTTTTTTTTTTGCGCCTCCTGGCCCTGTCAGCGTGGAGACCACATGACCAGCAGGCAGGAACCAGAACACGCTCCTACCCGGGTTCCTCCTTTGCTGCGTGGAAAAGCAGCTCTTTAAAGCTCTCAAGCAGCCATAACCTTTCTTGTCATTTTTTAAAGCTTCAGAGATCAGCTGCTCTGCTCTGCGCTGCTCTGCTCATGGCCCAGCCCGGCAGAGCAAACTGGATCTGCTTGTGGATTAGTCAGTGTGTTCTCATACACACCCATTGCTAATAACTCAACTGCCTCATTTTGCACATGTGCAGAGCCTTGCAGAAATATCCATACCCGTTGAACTTTTCCTGTCTTTGCCCCGTCAGTTTCATGTGTTTTTGTGTTTTCTCTGTCTGATATTCACATGTTGACATTCTTCTTAGAAAGTAGCTGAAACTCAGTCAGATTAGACAGAAAGCAATCTTGAACATCACATTTTTTAATTTTGCAAAATATTCTGATTTATTTGTATCTAAGTCTGGACTTTGACTGGGCCATTCTAGCACATGGAAATGCTTTGATCTGAACCGTTCTGCTGAATCGGCTCCAGTTTCAGGTCTCTGAACTGCTTTTCTTTCGTGATTCTCATGTGTTTTGCTTTATCCATTGTCCCATCAGCACTGATTAGCTTGAAGGAAATCATTCCCACAGCACAATGCTGCCAACACCATATAGTTTTGGCATCTTGGCCAAAACATTTAACTCTGGTGTCATCTGACCAGATCACAGACACTGTCCCCTACAAACACAAAAACTGAAAGTATGACTTCCAGCGGTTTGTATTTACACTTACTGTATTTATGCTTAACAGCCATAATTATACTGAAATTATTTAACACTGAGAGTGACTCCATGTACTGCTTACTACTTCCAGGTATCAAAGAGGCTGAATACCAGTGATGGACACTGCTAACTAAAAAGTTAGTTATACTAACCCTAACCCAAAATCATAAGCAATTATTCTGCTAACACTAAAGCACTACAATAATATTTAGCACAAGCTAGTGCTAAAGTGCTAACTTCAGTTAAACTACATCTGCCAATTTAATTTTTATATTATAATTTGCACAATACTTGCAGATATCATATTTATGCTTATATCTTGTTCTTGTTCCAGTAAGTTAGTGCTTTAGAATTGATCAGGAAAATGAATTTAGGGGAAGCTAAGTGACCTAAGCATTTTCAAAGTTAACCAAAGCACTAAAGCGCTAAGTGAAAAATGAGCTCTGCTATTAGCACCGTGCTGAATACTAATGCATACCACACTCGGAGTACAACTAATAGAGGTCTTTGTTTTTTTTTGTTTTTTTTGTTGCTCCAGAGGTATAAACTGCCTTTTGTAGTTTTCTCACATAAAATCCCATCAAAATACAGGGAAGTTTGTGGATGTGACATAATAACATGTGAAAAGGTCCAAGGAGTGTGAATACTTTTCAAAGGCGCTGTACACTTAGCGTGTGTTGGGCTCTGTGTTGCACATGTTTCACCAGCAGCAGCACAATGTGGTTATTTTCTTCCTTCAGAAACAAAGAGTAACTAAACTTGCCCTCAGCTCACGGTGAATGAAGCTGTCAGTGTTCAGTGTACAGAAAGCTGACTTCAGTAAGCAAATCTGTCTGCAGAGGTGGAGCACGCTTAGCCAATTCCTTACAAGCTATGCAAATAGCTTCACAATTATTCCCTCTGCTGTCACAGCCTATGTAGAAATTTTCTGGCTTATTGTGGAATATCCAAGGACGCTGCAGGACTTGGTTTTTTCTTAAAAATGATCACATATGTGAATTACTGACCATTTAGTAACATCTGACGATACAGCAAAATGCCATTTTTAAGTGTTGTTGTTGAGGGTGTCACTGCCAGAGGCTAAACATTCAGAGTGACAGTTAGTCATTAAACATGACTGTTTAATCCAAACCGTTATCAAATGCAAATGCATTAAAAGATACTTTGATCTTGTAATCCATTTAAAGATGTCTAAGGTTCTAATGTAAATATGTTCCATATAAACATATTTCTCACCAGGCCTTTTCCTTCAAACAGGGGAAATGTGGTGTAGTTTTTGTTTCTTGGAGCCAGACACCAAAAGACCTGTAGCTCTCTGATTTATGCACCTAGATGTCAGATAGTCTGCTGTTAGAAGCCTTGAAGAACCCATGTTTTACATCACTGGTTATCTAAATGTTCGTCCTGACATTCAGTGTCTTGTAAGTGGAAGTAAACACCCACTAAAGCACACTTACAAGGTTGACCCTCATCCAGGACCAGGACGTACACAGGGTCATGTGGCAGGTTTAAGAAAACACAGTAAAAACAACTTCTGAGGTATGAATAATGAAGAACTGCATCAGACAAACATGATGATTTTGTCATCAGACAAAATCTTCAAATTTTCTCCATCAAATTGAATTTGGTGAAGGACATTTTTAATAAGTTAGCATGTGGTTATCCAAATGAACTTAACCCTGCAAAGTAAATAAAAAAACTTGCACAACTAAAAACAAGCGACATCTTCTTCAAATCAGACTGAGCAGCCTTTTTGATTTCAAATTTTACTGGAGTGAAAAACCATCAGTTCAACAAAATGACTCAAAAGAAAGAGAAGAGGTTTTGTTTTCGTGGGTCTTCAGCTGCATCACATTCTTCAGACTTGATTGTGGGCTGTTGATGGGACTGCTTGGCAAGTGCAAAAAGTCGAAGATTCGCATAAATGCACATTAACAATATTTCAAATCCGCTGATTTGACTGAGTATTGATTTCATATTTTCTGACTTATTTCATTATTTCGATGTGATGGGATTCAAACTTGCATTTGATGGTAGGCGTATTCACACTCCTCCAGACTTTCGCTTATTTGAAATGCGCTGCTCACAAAGTGCTGGTTTCACAATATGTTGCAAAAATGGAGATGCACATAAACAGTCTGCCAGGTATTGTGATGCCTAGTGTTGCCTTGCACTTTGCAGTGTTTTTACAGGCTCAGGTGGACTTTTCTTTTTCATATTCAGCACATTTAATATTATATTGTATCCCTTAGTTAACTATTTTATGTAAGGTTATATAGCAAGAATAAAATAGGGCCTAAAACAAAATTCTAAGAGATCCTGTTCCATATATTTATACTCTTTGTCATAATCTGATTTATACACCCACTAATAGTCCGTTTTAAAAACTTTGCCAATATTGTATTAAACTACAGAAGTGTCCTTTGGACTGTGAACAGTTTGGAGTCAGGTGTTTATATTATTGTTTTGATCATTAATCCTGTCTTTTTTCTAATAAGTGATATTGGCACCTATTAGGCACCTTCCTACTTCCTACTTTGGTACCCTGAGACAAATCAGTTCATACTGTAAAGATGATTCCTTTCTGCAGATCTACAGAAGAGCTCAGGAGACACCAGAGTTGGTTAAAGAGTTGCTGTGGGTTGGAAGCAAGGTATAAATTCAGTCAGTCCCTTTAGCTTTAGCTGGCTGAACATACATTAGCTTATCACTGGGGTACACAATAAATCAGCCTCGAGTTCCTTAATTTTGGGAAATGGTTGATTTGTCAATAGTTATATGAGAAACTGGTCTTATCCTCCAAACCTGTCTACCTCTACAAAGATCTGAGAATCAGCCGCTGTTCTCTTTTGCTGTGCTGACTGTGAGAGGACTAACTGTCAGAGTTGTCCACTTGGTCAGCTTAGCAACAAATCCAGTGACTAAATCAATATCAACCAAAACTCTTTGCACAAGTTAGAGTTCATTTCTGCTTCTGCACGCTTTCTACCCTTTCCATGCAAAGCCATAAACATCAATAAAACATTGAAAGAATACCGATCCTCTTGAATCGCTTGGCTTCTGTGGACAAATAATTGTCCACAGAATTGGACGTATGTTCTGTCATACGTCCTGCTGCTGCTACTTTAATGCATAAGACATAAGGCAGCAAATGACACACATGTGAAAGATGAGCAAATGGGAGAACAGAAAACATAATGTTAATGTTCTTTATCATCACAAAGATCTTCAAATTACACGTTAAATTTAAATCAATTGTATCCTTATTACACCCTTTTCTTGCACTCTATCTCCATTTGTCATAGCTGATTATAGTAATGATGTTATTTCTTATGCAAAATGACTGATCAAACCAAAATAATAGCTACCTGCCAGAGACCCGATTCACCTCCTGCAGGTAGATGATATTCATCAGAGTCATGAAGCTAAATATTAACAGTAAATTATAGAAAATGACTCTTTTAAGTCATCATTTGTCCAAGTGATTATGAAATGAGCTTCTGGCTGTTTCCATTCAGTTGACCTGAAGAGCAAAAGGTGACTCCATTTTGTGCCAAAAAAGTGAGGAATTACTGGTGAGCACAGAGAACAATAGAGGATTGCTGCTACACCCATCAGCCCCCCCCCTCTCCCCCTCAGCCCCTCCACCCCTCCTGCCGTCGTACAGGTGGGCTTTTAGTCATCCTCTTCCCCCAGACTGCTGGAACTATAATCATCATATGGCAGCATGGCTTTCAAATCTCATTAGCAAGGTAGCTAACATTTCATCTTTGCAGTAAACTACATGAAGGTCAGACCTCTTAAAGTGAATCAAACATAACGATTCTCCATATTTGTCCTGTATATGGAGGCCATGTGAAGGCAAAGTCTCGCTCCTGGT